ACAGAGCAAGTCTCTTCCTCTGCAGTCTCTCCTTGTTGGTTCCTTGCTGTTGCTGGTCCTGTCGTTGCTGTAGTTTTCTTCTTAGCTCGTTGCTCCTCAGGCTCGTTTTCCCCTGATGTCTCCATGGTTTTGGGTTTGTTTAACATTTTAAGTTCTGGATTTCTGCCTCTGTTACCTATGGTTTGCAATTAAATCTCTCAGAACTCATCTCTGCCTCCCTGCCTCTGCATTTGGGTCCTCAAGCAACCTCAGCACCCACTCCTCACATAAACATTATGAAGTGTTATTTAAATTTGTTGTGATTGATCCCTTCTCAGGAAAAAGAACCAGTGAGAGAGAGAAAGCTTGAAGGTGGAATCAGAGCTTACCGGAAATCCTTGTACAGACCTTAGCTTTCAGTCAGCTGTCTTCACCTTCAGATGGAAACTTCAAAGTTAAAGCAGAAATGAAGCGTTTTAATCATCAGAGGGTTTACTTCTTTGCAAGTTGTGCTCCATGCTAAACCCTCAGACACTTAAAATGCAGTAAAGGGAAGTGGCCTTAATGAGATGTTATGAACAGATTTCTGAACTGTATTGATAATGTGTCACTGAATACTGATGCCTGCTGGACCTTTAAAATCCCTAAATGCAGCCTATTTGACAGACTTAACTGATACGGACTTTGATGACCCACTTGGACAATATAATCGAAAAATTTGTTATATTAATGTGTATATTGTTTCATGTATTCTATAAAATATTTAAATTGAAAGTATCTTTGATATTTTTAGATGGAGCCAATAAATAGTGTGAACATATAAAGTTAAAACTCAAGTGAACATCTGAATGAGGAGAGGGATTTAGAAAAGTGCTCACTAAGTAAAGTGATTAAATAGAGTCTATTGGAGTTGAATTTCAATTCAAATAAGGTGGGTGAAAACATGAGATCAAAATGGTCCCACACAGCTGAAACATTTCTTTTGCATCGTTAATGAACTCCGACAGATGAGAGATTTTTTGGACGGGTGCATTCCTGTGATATATAGACTTATAAACACAGTTCATATTGACCCAGCTCCTGTTTCGGTCAGCTGACGTCAGGACCGGCCGTAGGCATAAGCAAACTAAGAGGCTGCTTGGGGCCCCCTGGCCACCAGGAGCAGGGAGAGATTTACCATTTTATGGGCACCCCAAGTTCCTGGGGGGCCCATAAAAGTCTGTTCACATGTATGGTGTTTTTTGATAAAAAATCCTTTGGCTAAAATGCCATCAGAACGCTCAGCCGCCCCCCTTCAGTGTCCACCATATTGGATCAGTCCATTTGCTGCACATGTTCAGAAAGGTCCAAAGAGACAGCAGCAAACCATTTGAAAACAAACCATGCAAAGAGCAGTGTTGCCAACTTAGCGCTTTAGTCGCTATATTTAGCCACTTTTCAGGCCCCTCTAGCACTTTGATTTCTAAAAAGCTCCTAGCGCCAAATCTAGCGACTTTTTTCAGCTACTGGAGACTTTGGAGACAACATCTAAAAGCAGCGAACTCTGCTCTCCAGAGCAAGTAGATTGGTAACCCCGCCTCCTGCTCTCCCCTATCTTGTCTGCTGTCATGATTCATGCAGCTATTATTTCATCCAAATGAAAAATGGAGAACAGAGAAGCAGATCATGGCTTGTCTACAGTGAAAAGAAGGACTGGGTTATTTACTTTGGCCTTTTTGGAAACACAGGAAGGAGCAATCAGCTAAGTGAGCTTAGTGCTTGGAAAAAAATTTTTATTCCTTTAGAGACAGCATGAAAAGTCAGCTGAGTACAAAACATAGAGAGGAAAACAAGAAGAAAAGGGACAAGAAGAGAGGGACACAACCTAGAACAGATAATGGTTGTCTATTCTATTAACATTTCTCTATCTGTAGAATGGGTCTGTTTTATGTGTTGTCTTCTCAGTTTAGAGGGCCCCTGCCTGTCTTTGCCTAGGGCCCCACATTTCATCTTTCATCTTCATCTGGATTATAGACAGATGTAGCTGGGTATCATCAGCATAACAGTGGAAATTAATCCCATACTGTCTAATAATTCTAATATATATAGTATAGAGAATTGGTCCTAGCACTGATCCCTGTGGTACTCCACAGGTAACCTTTGAGCATGAGGAAGATCTGTCATTAACGTGAACAAACTGAATTCGATCAGATAGATAAGATTTAAACCAGTCTAGAGCTGTTCCTTTAATTCCAACAAAATATTCAAGTCTTTCTAAAAGAATATTATGATCAACTGGATCAAATGCAGCACTGAGATCCAACAGGAAGAGGACAGATACAAGTCCATTATCTGAGGCCATGAAAATATCATTAGTGACTTTCACCAGAGCTGTTTCAGTGCTATGATGAGCTCTAAAGCCAGACTGAAACTCTTCAAAAACTTTATTATGGTGTAACCTCGCTTCCCATCCAAGAAGCTTTTTCAATTCAAATCATTTTGAAGTTAAAAAAAAAAAGCTTCTTGGATGGGAAGCAAAAAGTCTTCAAACTTGGAAACAAAGTCCAGAGGATTTATATTAATTTTCTTTATTTGGAATGACTATGACCTGGATGACTGATAATCTTCACCAGCATTTAAGATAGAGTTATTTTAAGATTAGAGTTTTATGCATTTTCAGGTCTTAGATCATTGCATTATTTTTTTAATGACATATTTTTGTTTGGCAACAAAGTTTTTTTTTTATGTATATATATATAAAAAAAAATGTTTGTATGTGTGACATTTATCATAGTTGCAATATTTTTCTTTTTACATACTTTAAATAGTGATAATTTTGGAGATCTTACAAAAGCAAACATTAAACAAACCCACACATACATACACACATATATATACATACATGCACAAACACACACACTATATATATATAAATCTGAAGTTTTTATACATAATATTTCCTGTTTTCTGAGGCAATATTATGAGTTTTATATCAGTCAGGATATATTTGGGTGAAATAGGTGGTGGTGGTGGTTGCAGAGATCTGCCTCTCCTGCTTAGTTTGTGTAATACTGTGTTTATTTAGAAGGATGCCAATTTCCCTAAATAATCATGGCTACTCTCTGTGATTGTATTATTTCACAAGCCTAGAATAATAAATGTGAAAATAGGGGGAATCTTTGGCAGGTTCCAGATTCTAAGTTTGACAAGTGTGAGAAATGATCTAGAATGTTGCTGATAGCAAAATGGGGAATTTCCATCCTCTGAGCAGATAATTCAAGGCAAACTGACTGGAGCACATCTCCATACAATAAACTCAAGAAATACAAGAAGCACAAGAAATACAGTAAATACAAGAAATACTAGAAATACAATAAATACAGTAAATACCCCAGTGGGCCTCAGCAGATGGCCGCTCACACTGAGCCTGGTTCTGATGGAGGTTTCTTCCTGTTCAAAGGGAGTTTTTCCTCTCCACTGTCGCTACAAGCATGCTTAGTTTGAGGGATTGCTGAAGAGTCAATTGCTCTGTTCGAAAACTGTTCGAAGGACGATTACGTCATAGCGCGGCGCCGAGGTCTGGTCGGATTCCAAGAGTCCTCGTTATGCGGCCTTAAACTTCTTTTTGCCCGATTTGAAGGACGGGTCCGGTGTATCCTCGGTATCCTTGGATATCCCGGGATTCATTGCGAGACCAAGCCAGCCGTGATCAGAGGAAAGGTTACTTGGCGCCGAACAGTGGTGAAAATTGGAAGTTCATTTTAATATAATCCAGTCTGTGAATAGTTCCATCTGAGATGAATGAAAATAGATGTTTTAATGGTTATTGAGTCAGATATGTGGCGGTAATGTTTGATTTATCCAAAGGTTTTTATCTGTTACTGTGTAAATGAGTTTGGCTGTAATTTAAGGACAGATTCTAATATATCTGCAGAGTGGGGACTGTTAATCTGATAGGAGTTTTATCTGATTATTGCTGTTTTGCACAATATGCTTAACTACGTATTTTTTGTTGTTGAATATTAGAGATTTTGCAGATATATTTTTTATACATACATTGTTTAGATTTACTTATATATTTCTACCCCTTTTACAGAATAGAATAGAAAATCCCTTTATTGTCCCACAATGGGCAAATTTACAGCAGCAGAAAGATTATTGAAAATGGTCACACAAATGAGGACCTTAGAAAAATGTATAAGAATAACATGATAGGGAAGAGTTAAAAAAAAAAACACAAAAAAAAAAAAACAATACAATGCTGCAAAGTGTTTTAACAATATAAAACTGGAGAATAAATAACCAATATGCAGCTATGGACATTTTTACAGTAATGGATATTTGAAAATAGCAGCAACATCAGAGATGTGCAGAATGACAGCAGCATGTTATTTAACTGACTAAGGTTTCTATCATTACATTTGATTTTAGTTGTTCCTGCTCCCGGTGGTTGGAACCTTTATTCCACTCTGGATTCTTGTTAATGTAGTCTTTGTTCACTTTACAATAAAAAAGAAATAAATAAACAAACAGTTTTGAAAACTTCGGTTTTTATTCTTTTCCTGCTTTGTGTGTCAACTTTCATGGTTGCTAAGCAACAGAGCTTATGGCGGTAAAGAGTAGACCTGTTCGAATTCGCAGCCAAAACTCTTCCGGTCTCCTTATTTTCAAGGACTTCGGAGGATCCAGTCTAGGTAGACCGCGTCCTTGGAGGATGCAGCCCAGGTTTTCGATCAGAGCCAATGAGTTGATGCAATCAGCTGGTTTTCCTTAGAAAGAAAACTTTGAATCAATCTGAGTGGATGATCTGGTGAACCGGAAAATGACCTTAGATGACATGATGTGAATTGGAGCTACAGAAATAAATTGAATTGAAATACAAGAAACACAATAAATACAATAAAAATCTTATTCATTCCAATTTATCTGTCCACCAAAAGTCTCAGTTTAAGGCATACATGTATAGGAAATGTGAAAACATTAAGAAAATGTTTAAAAGTTTCCTTTAAATTTCTCATCAACGTGCGCGAGTTTGGGGCGCGGCGCGCTCTCGCAACAGGGAGCAATTTTTGGCTCAACACCGGTGGAGAGAGAGGAGTTGCAGCGCTGGTCTGAGTCTATAACAGGGAAAACCTAAGAAACAAGGTATGAACTTCTAATAAACATTCAGCCTTTAGACGAACAACTCAGAACCTGCATGAAGGATTGGTTTTAGTTTTAGCTTTATTTGGTCGGTTAAAGTTATTACTGACTGAGGCTAAGGCTAACATCCGCTAGCTTAGCTAGCAGAAAGGAGCGGGAACACTGGGAAGGTTTTACTCTAAAACTCAGCAGCACTGAATGTCTGTTTCTACTTTTTCTCAGTTTGTCATTTGCGGACGGTGATGCACGAGGCTGCGAAGAAATGGTGAAAATATCGATAGTGAAGGTGAGAAACATTCACCCTGAAGTTTGTGTCTGGTTTGAACTGGTGTCTCATTTTAAAACGGAGATGATTGACAGGTGTGCTCAGCGTTTCCAACACACACACACACACACACACACACACACACACACACACACACCGCTACCCCCGCAGTGAATGTCAGATGAAATGACGGGCGCCATCTTGGGGAGGTTGACCCGATGAAGCTGAAGTTAGCTTCCGAATCGTAAAATGAATAAAGTTTTCCCTCCTTCACCTTTAATCTACTCTAATTAAAAAACTAAAACAAATATGTAAATATGTTTGAATTATACAAAGTATATATCTTTTTACAGAAACAAATAGGAAATTATGATTATTAGCCATCTTCTGGTGTTAATGACATCTTTGAATGGCTATTGCATCAAAATTTAGAATGAAAATTTGTACGCTACCCCCAAAATTTGCGATTTACATCATTTAATGGATACAAGGGGATTCAAGAAAATACCAATATCTTTGAAAAAATAACTTCATTTTATTCAGAATAAAATTCTACATTATTAATATTTAAATTAATAATTTCTAATCAAGAAAAATGCAATTTTCTGTTTTAATTATATATATTCTTAATATGTAATGTAAAAATATATGCAAATAAAACAAATTGTAAATGTGTTTCCATGGACTAGTAGATAATTTTATTAGCTTGTAATTGGTATTATTGCCAACTTTGTAAGTCTAATTGTTTTTAGAAGTTATATCAAAATTATCTACCCTCCCCCCTAAAAATGGGAGGTTTTTTGTTATCTAGACGGGTATAAGTTGAGGGCCTTTGGGGCCGGCATAAACGTGGTCTGAGAACAAAATGATTGTCAGGTTAGAAAGAATGGGAAATCATCCAGTCTGCTATGAAAATCAAAAATGTTTTTTTTTTTTTTTGAAGAGGTCTAACCCAGACACATCAAACCTGGACTGGGTTATTTTAAAACACTTGGAGAGCAATTAAAGCCAGGTCTGGGATTTGTGAAACTTCAATTAAGGATTGATGCTTGTCCCAAGTGGGATTTCTACCAAGGACGTTCTCCTCTTTTTCTGTTTTATTCTACTTCTTTTAGTGATGTTTAATGACTAGTGATGCCTAATGAGGCATCCTGTAGGTGGCAGTATTCTCAATTGATTTATTTTTTTTTTTACAAATCAAGTAGTGATTTGATAAACGGGTATAACTCTGAGTACATTAAAGGAATAGTACACCCAAAACATGATTAGCCTTCATTTTCTACTCACCCCCATGCTGAACAACACTCTGGAGTACTTTTTTGATATCTCAAATGCATCTGGAGATCTGGGAGCCTTCTTGCTGTCTGCTGACATTCAAATAATGGAGGTCTATGGTGCCCGAGGCAGAAAGGTCCATAGAAGTCCACAAAAAACGTGTCAATATTCCTCCATACTGCTCGTCCAATGTATTCCAAGTGTCCTGAGTGGGTAGCGTCGAAAATTTACTCGAAACAAAGTTATTTAGAATGTTTTTAGAGCATAAACAGTAGTGTATAGGATTTCCTAAAAGCGCGTTCACGAGTCTACGGAAACCGTGGCAGACCAAGCCAGACGAAAGTGCGCATTCAGCTCGGCAAAGAACTCATGCTCTTCCTCAACACTGAAGTCCTCAGACATTTTTCTTTCGTTGTTTCTTTCTTTGCACAGGTAAACAGCACATTTCTTCTTCTACGCTTGCATTATCGGCAGAGCAGACGCTGAATGCGCACTTTCGTCTGGTTCGGTCTGCCGCGGTTTCCGTAGACTCGCGAACGCGCTTTAAGAAATCCTATACACTACTGTTTATGCTCTAAAAACATTCTAAATGACTTCGTTTCGAGTAAATTATGGACGCTACCCACTCAGGACACTTGGAATACATTGGACGAGCGGTATGGAGGAATATTGACATGTTTTTTGTGGACTTTTATGGACCTTTCTGCCTCGGGCACCATAGACCTCCATTATTTGAATGTCAGCAGACAGCAAGAAGCCTCCCAGATCTCCAGATGCATTTGAGATATCAAAAAAGTACTCCAGAGTGTTGTTCAGCATGGGGGTGAGTAGAAAATGAAGGCTAATCATGTTTTGGGTGTACTATTCCTTTAAACATTTGTTGTAACAGTAACATCTCACTACTCCAGTAAGTGTGAGGAATGGTCTAATTACTTCAGCTATGAGGCCCCGTCCACACGAAGTCAAAACGAACACGAAATGCTAATATTTTCCTGAACGTTTGTCGTAAAGACGGAGACGTAAAATAAATGTGAGCGTCCACAGTCGGTAGTGAACACAAACATCATAAAATACAAAAAGGCAACAATCCTTTTGCTCATTTTGAAAAAGGAAATGGAGGGTATTCAGCTGAAACAGATACAGCCATGTTTGTTTGCTTCAGCCTCTGTTTGATGTGTGGGCGTCGTAGAGATCAAAGCATTTTGGTGGTCACATCGAGGCTAACGCATAATTTTGCTTCTGTCAAGATGTATTTTTGGGAATTTGTTAAATCACAAATTTTACAACGATTCATCTTGCCTGCAAGGTTACCTAATTACAGACTATGACCACATAAAACACATAAAAACATGAAGTCATATTTGAATAAAACATTATTCATTAAACATTTTTCTAATGCTGCGTTGGTCCCATTTGGTTCTGGGCTTCCAAGCGTCTCATTTACCTGCAGAGTCTATATGGGGCAGCGTCTGAGGATTTACAATTTTAATTTACAATAATTATTCATGTTCTTATAAGAAAGAAAAAGAATCATAGATGTGCAATAAGGGGGGAAGGACTTTCTAAAAACCAGCAGATTTATGATGATATAAACCTTATTGTCCTGAAGGAAATTAGTTTTGGGTAAAATCTCTGGCTGCTGCATAATCTACAACTATGACTGTCACATTCAACCATCGAACTACTTTGATAATGTGTTCATGCTATGATTTATTTAAAGAAAATAATTTGGATCCTTTCGTTAAAGGAAAAGTCCAGTCAGCCAGGAATAATCAGTGGATCATTATTTATACCTAAAACTAATACGTTCTCTGTGATTAAATGGATTTAGTGTTAATCAGTAAAAAATAAAAGCAATCATTTTCAAGGCGATCACTGAGTCTGGGAGCGGCCATTTTTGCCCAAATATAGTAACCCATCCCTCCTGCCATCTTCCAGCAGTGACGTCACGGTGCGGTAAGCCTAGCGCCATTCTCCCTGCTTCACAAGCAAAATCAATGGGAACTACTAGACACATCTGCAATCAACAACAATTTTTGAAGATTTCCAGAGGACTTCACCATTGAAATTCACCAGAGCTATAGTGAAACTGACAATGCCCACGTGCATGGCAGCTGGATGCTGGAATACATCTGGTAAAAGGGAAAAAAAAAAAGTGTTATTCCACCTTTCTGATTCCTGATCCTCCACGGACGGGTTGGTCGTTGGATCGCCAACTTGAAGAGGGAGGATTTGCCATCGAACTTCTGGCCAGAGAAAAAACACGTAATATGTAGCCAACATTTGGAAGAAGAATGTTTTCAAGATGACTTGGATAATAGCGCGTTGTGACAAACACCAGATACAGCACTGGGACTTGATCAACAGCCGATACCGCACCGTGACGTCACAAACCAGTAGGTGGCAGTAGTGTTCTTTGATAAACATGGATGCCTCCAGTAAAGCACATTCAGATATAAATTACTCTGAATTAAAAACAGTGATCATTTATTGAACAGGATGGAATAATTTTATATTTAAAGAACTTTCAGAACCTTTAAAAAATTTCATCACCTGGCCAAGATTTTGAGCAGTAAAAACATTCATAGACTTGAAACCATTTAAACTCCACAGTCACAGACTGCAGGAAAACTGGACTACATAAAAATACAGACGGTGTTGAACAAGACACTGGCTATTACAGTAAACTGAAACCAAAAAACAATTTAAACTCGTTTTCCATCAAAATCGACTGACCTGCAGTTAATCTACTCATTCTGTATACCATGAATCGACGAGGATGTCCTCAATCATGGACGCCATGATCAGAGCTGGCAGTTAGGATGGTCCATATTCAGAGCAGAGCTTGAAGGCCAGCAGTGGAGGCATGAAATCTACACTTCTTTTTTATTGTAAAGCATTTCTTAACCACTGAATAAAGTGTGATCTTTACGTGGCCTTGGTTTGATGGCTGGCTCCTGCTCTTGGAGACCACAGGAGATCTGAGGTCCACTGTAGTGGTCCCAACAGTAGCCCCATTTACACCACCCTCTAAAAACTGTACCGTGCCACATTTAATCATGGTGGCGCCCGTAACATTCAGGAAGTTTGCGGAGAGTCAGGAGAAGAAGGCAGCCTTTGGTGAATTTACTTGACAGTCGGCTTTTGGGACATGGATACGACAAACGATAGTCTAATCAGGGCTTCCAGACACAGGAAACGACAGACGTTGAGGTTCATCTCACTGCTAAGCAGAATCATCACTGGAAATTGTGCAGAACGGTAGGAAGGCTAGGAGTTTTAGGAATGTCTGAAGTTTCCTGATTACGGAGGCTGACTGTAAGGAGCTGCTGCTCAGAGATTTAAACCAGAACTGAACCACGCCGAGCCCTGCTGATGAACTAGTACCATGGTAGGTTGCGTCTGGCATGGTCCGGTTCAATTCTGCATACCATTCCAACTGTTACCTCTGTTACCATGCTCGGACCGATCTTGGCACCGTTTCAAATGGGTAATGGAAATGTGACTAATATCTCATGGGTCTGCTTTACTGTCAGTTTGCTTATTGTACAAATATTGAGTTTTAAAGAAACTCAGACCTGACTGGAAGATGATCTTTTGTGTCACCCAAGTCTCATGTTTCTGTTCTTTGTAACAATATAACAATATAACTTGTTTCCTGACCCCTGAAGGTGGAGAACCCATCTTGCCTCTGGGGTCGGGTTTTTGGCGGAAGTGGAGAAACCACAGAGGATTATGCTGATCTCCAGACACAGATGAACCTCTTCTACCATGATGTCACTCAGGACCTTCACAGCCTGAAACCTGCATCATTTGAAGAAGGACAGGTATTGGTTGGCCATGAGAGTCGTGATATTTAGATGCTGTCCTTTGGGGGTGGATGATGTGTCACTTATCTATGGGTCTGCTGAGCTCAAATGTGAGTCAGGTGTGCTGAAGGCATCTAAAGGCGGGTGGACATCAGTCCTGCTGGAGTTTGTAATCACTCATTCAGTGGTTTAACAAGATTTTATATTTTTAATTCTAGTTTTTGTTAAATTTTGAAGAACATTAAAACACCTCCGGGCATACGCTATAACATTTCCAATCGTTGCAAACAGCTACGCTGAAACTATACGACGAAACCGCAGGGTTTAAAAGTTGACAGCTCTCGATGTTTGTTCTCGCACTGTGCGACCCGACGCTCTGATGCGATCTAACCGCTCACACTGTACGTCCAGAAACCACCTGTCGGACTCGGTACCAAGGGATGGCGCTGGTCGGACTGGATCTGTAAGAAGAAGATGAAGAACTCCATTATTTGCACATGCGCAGTGCTCGAGGTTCTGATAAATCGGCTCGTAGCTCTGCTTCAACAGCAGGATTTGTCCTCCAACACCTCATGACGGCCGACTGAATTTCCAACATGTTTGATTTTCTCCTGACCTTACGATTCCTGACCGGGAGGCGGTTGTTGGAGGCTAAACGCCCCTGGTTATACCACGCGACGCACGATGAGGCTGAAACTTGGATGAACGGACTGGACCAAAGTAGGGGTGTAAATCACACCCATCATGGCGATTTGATTCATTATCGATTTCCTGACCCAACGATTTGATTATTTTTCGATACTCAAAAATAGGGATGCACGATATAATCGGCCCCCTATCGGTATCGGCCTGTATTGGCCTTAAAACTGAATATCGGACATCGGCCACCCCACCGATATTTAACCCGATATTTGATCAGCTTCTGAGTTTCTAAAGTCTAAAAAAAAAAAAAAATACTACTTCTTCTTCCTCAAAAACTTCTTTTTTACAGACTTAAAAACTTCTAAAGACGAGGTAAAAAATATTGATACATTAAAATATCACAATATTTTCATATGCTGATATATTTCCATTTAAAAACACCATATCAATCTCTTTTACTAATGAAATATTGTTATATGTCATCGTTATGCTACGAAATCCCCCGAAAATTCACCAAATGTTGCCATATTTTTATATGTTGATATATTGACGCGGTATCGATCTATTTTACTAACAAAATCTCACAAGAATTTGCAAAATATCACGAGAGTTTGTAACAGAACGATTAAATTTCACGAGATTTTGAAAGTAAAATAGATCGGTACAGTGTTTTTAAAAATATATTTGATATCAGCATATGAAAATATATTTGAGTATATTATTTTTCAAAGTGTCAGAAATGGATAACAAAACTGCTATTTTCAATGACTACTTATTTTTGTCCAGCTTTAACATCGGTATCGGTTATCGGCTACATGGGTTTTAAAATATCGGCATATCGGATATCGGCCAAAATCCCAATATCGTGCATCCCTACTCAAGAATACACCACGATACGATTTGATTAATTAGGCCCGAGCAGCAAAGCGCTGCGAAGGCCTATTGTATTTCGAAAGTTTCTTATTATTAGGCCCGAGCAGCGAAGGCTGCAAGAGCCTATTGTATCTGTACTATTTCTTATTATTATTATTATTCTTTTAGCACTTTGAACGCATTTTACGGGGACTTCGCATATTCAAAAACTCAGGAAAACGTGGCAGTAAATTGTCCCCCGCGTGAAATAGCCGGTCTGTAATGGAATCCAAAATGGCCGCCCCCAAATTACGCCACAGCGCCCCCTAACGTGAGTTGGGGGAAACTGTAAGTCACAGAGATCTGAAACTTGGCACACCGGTAGATCTCCTCAAATCATGAAAAAAAGTCTCTTGGAGGTATGCCCTAAAACCCACAGGAAGTCGGCCATTTTGGCTCAAAGTGCGATTTTTGGCCATTTTTCATTTTCGCTCATGTCGAACTTTAACGAACTCCTCCTAGGGATTATGAGCTATCGGCTTCAAACTCGGTCATTATGCAGTTAAGGCATTGGAGATTAAAAGTTATCAAAGGTTTTCGTTTTTGAGCATGTTTAAGGGGTCCCCAGGGGCCCCGAAGTTAGGGTACTTTTGGAGAATTTCAAAGTGGAATAACTTCTACAAAAAAAGTTCAAATCAAACCAAGATTGGCAGTAAGGAGCCCCTTTGGATGCTTGACCATACTGGATGGTCAAATGATGACATCATCTAAGCCCCGCCCCCTTAGGGAAGAAAGTCGCTTTTTTTACTTGGGAGGATCCCTTTCAGTCATTTTAAACACCAGCACCTTGAAACTTTGTCAGATGATAGAAAACATGTTGGTCTAACTTCGTTTAAAGCACAGAGAGTCTGAGGTAAATGGTGTTGCCGTGGCGCCATGGCAAAGTGAGGCGTTTCGCCATGAAAATACGATTGGCTCTCATTTCCTCATTATTAATCAGATCTGCACCAAAATCACAAGAGATGATCCTAGTCCAACTCCAAACAGGAATCCAGAGCAATATTTTGTGGGCGGGGCTTAATTTCACTACAGCGCCCCCTAGAAATAACAAACTTCAAACCACCAGCCCCAAGCCGTTTTTAGTCCTAGAATATTGAAACGTTGAACACATTTGCATCTCATCAGGCCCTAACTAAAAGCCTCTTGAAGCCATGGTCTAAACCCCACCGGAAGTCGGCCATTTTGAATTACAATTTACTCTATTGTGAAAGCACTGACCTTTTTTCAAAAAATTGTATAAAATCAGCCTTTTATCCAAATGAGCTAAAACTTTCAAAATACGTTCTTTACAAAGCCTGCTGTGAGCTGGTTACAATAGCAAAGCGCTTCTTTAAAGTCCGTCACTCTGATTTTTCAAAAGTTTGCGTTCTCGCCTAATAGTTGGTCAAGTGGACAGATAATGCCAGGAAATAATTCAGCCCCTAGCCATGCTCGTTCCTAGGATAATGAAACTTGGCACACATCTGTATGAGCTCTCCACCTACAAAAAGTTTCATTGGAGCCATGGTCTAAACCTCTCATGAAGTCGGCCATTTTGAATCAAACGGCACCCTTATGAAAATAGAATCACTATGTTAAAATATTTCTAAAAAATCAGTCGTTTTCCCAAAAGAGCTAAGACTTTTGGAATATATTCCTCTAATCGCTACTTGTTTGATGGTAAACACAGCATAGCTCTTCATAAAAGTCCGTCACTCTGATTTTTCAAAAGTTTGTGTTAACAAGAAATTGTTGTATCTCAAAAAGTTTTATAGCAATCCTAGCCAAATTCGGAACAGTTATTTATCCTTTGATTATAGAAAAGACTGCCAGGTTTGGCGTGAATCTATGAATGTTTGAGCATCTTATGGGGTTTTCAACTGCCGCAGTATAAGGCATTCACGTTTAAAGATTTTTCTTTCTTTTAATTATTTAATAAATCATCTAAAAAAAATCTAGGACATGCAGGATGTGTTCCTTGATATTTGTGATTTTTTTCGGGATTTTATTGCAAACTATGGATTTTTAATGATTTTTTTTTGTTTTGAGTTGATGACATAATCTAAGCCCCGCCCCTTCAGGGAAGAAAGTCACTTTTTTCACTTGGGAGGGTCCCTTTCAGTCATTTTAAACACCAGCACCTTGAAACTTTGTCAGATGATAGAAAACATGTTGGTCTAACTTCGTTTAAAGCACAAAGTTTTTGAGTTAAATGGCGTTGCCATGGTGACCTGGCAAAGTCAGGCATTTCGCCGTGACCATACTTTTGGCTCTCATCTCCTCATAGATCCTTCAATCTGCACCAAAGTCACTAGGATGGAACTTGGTCCAAGCCCACATAAGAATCTAGGCCAATAATTGCTGGGCGTGGCTTACTTTCTCTACAGCGCCCCCTAGAATGTCTAAAACGAACAGCCCCAAGCCATGCAATGACTTAGGATTATAAACGTTGGGACACTTGTTAAACACACCAGGACCTACAAAAAAGCCTCTTGGAGCCATGGTCCAAACCCAACAGGAAGTCGGCCATTTTGGATTAAACATACTTTTTTCCGTTTTTAAGTCATGACGTATCTCAGTGAAGGGCTATTTGTTTTTTTTATAAGACAGAGACTTCAGATTCCCTTTGCATGGACTATACTTCATAGCAGATTAAAAGTTATCAAAATTATTATTCTACATGGAAGCATGAGGGTTTGGCTAAGCATCAAACTGTTAACTCCAGTCATACAAAGCCATCATTTTATAATCTCAATATGGAAGGTCAACTTAGTACCAATAGGAGGAGGAGAAGTAACAGAAGGAGGGGAAGGATGATCAGGATGAGAAACAGTTGAACCAGGGGGAGGATGAAGAGGATGAGGAGAAGTGGCAGCAGGGTGATGAAGAGGATTTGGAGAAGCAGCAGAAGGCCGGGGAAGAAGAGAAACAGCAGCAGCCGGGGGAGAAGGATATGCAATGAGAGCAGCACTAGGAGAAGGAACACGAGAAGCAGCATTAGCAGGAGGATGAGGAAGATGAGGAGAAGCTACGAAGAAGGAGGATGGGAAACAGTGGCAGAAGCAGAAGGAGAAAGGGGAAGAGGATGAAGAGAACAGCAGGAGGGTGATGAAGAGGATCAGGAGAAGCAGCAGCAGGCATAGGCTGAAGAGCAGGAGCAGAGGTCGGGAAAGAGCGTGGAGGCGGCGGTCGCTTGGTTCCTGAGATCGCAACATACCAGGCGGTGCGAGCTGCGAGGGCCGCCCAATGCCACTTGTGGCTTTAATTATTATTATTATTACGATTCTTGTAGCACTTTGAACGCATTTTACGGGGACTTCGCATATTCAAAAACTCAGGAAAACGTGGCAGTAAATTGTCCCCCGCGTGAAATAGCCGGTCTGTAATGGAATCCAAAATGGCCGCCCCCAAATTACGCCACAGCGCCCCCTAACGTGAGTTGGGGGAAACTGTAAGTCCCAGAGATTTGAAAGTTGGCACACAGG